ATTTCTGGGACTAGCTCGTAAAGGTCTCCAGCGGGGTCGTCCTTGTCGCCCTCGTTGTCCTCGAAGTCCTCGAAGTCCTCGTCGTCATCTTCGTTATTGTCGATGCGGCATCGCTTGCGGGAGGGGGGTGGTTGAAGGCTAGATTGTTGTGCTGCTCTTTGCTTCTTTGCAGTGGTGGTGATGGCCAATTGGTCTTTGGTTGCAATGACGTTTTTGGGGAGGGATTGGTTTGGTTGGCTTTTGGGCATCGTGGGAGGTGAAGGTCAGAGACTGTGAAGTTGGGACGTGTTGAGTTGCGTGAGTCATGTTGAAACTGTAGAATAAGTGTGAAGTTGTTAACTTTGTAGGGAGTTTGAGTAGTTGTTGATTTGAAAACTTACATTTGGATTGTGATTGTGTCCTTTGTATAACGTTCGATGAATGTGTGGTGTGTGTATGTAGAGTAGTGGGAAGATGCCGACAGGAGTTAACGTGAAATATTATGTCAGTGAAGTTATAGGGTTGCTGAAGATGTGGCAGTGACGAGTGTTACTGGTGGTGAGCTTCTGTGTATTCGTGATATGTGAGCTTTAGGGTGGTGAGAATTGGGTCGTGGCGGTGACTGTGGGTTGTGGTGGTAAGATATTAATGTGACAAGTGTTGCACGTGGTGTGTTTTGATATGTTGGTGATATGTGAGCTGTGAGGTGGTTATATCTTGTTTGAGGTGGTGACTGTAAGCTTGGTGTGGTAAGATGACAAATTGACGAGTGTTATAACTGGTGAGTTTCTGTATGCTTGTGATATGTAAGCTCTCAGGTGGTGAGATTGTAGGTGTGGTGGGGATATTTTGATTGAGGTTGTGATATTTCTGCTTGACTGGTGACATTGTGGAGTTGGGTGGTGAGATTTTCACTTGGTGCATGAGCGGGCCAAAGGCCCCCCCCCTTGTAGAACTTTGACTTAGCAGAATTTTGAGGTTACCCTAGGAGCTCCTATATTCCTAGGAAATTCTAAGGGGGTGTTCCAAGGCTATTGGATGATACAAGGGTCTGTATCGTCCAATACATTTGGAGAAGTACAGTATGTACAGGTGTACAAAGGGATCAGAAGGGCGGAGTAGTTTATCTCCAAACGAATTCAAAATAAAGTAGTCAGTTATCTTGTCTTGCTTGTAAGAATATAACATCTTAATCTGGTAAGTTGATCAAGTGATAGATACTTACAAATTTTGTTGTCTTTGTTGGCACAGTCACATCAGTAGTCATAATGCCTATTAGACGAAACCCTCCAAGAGCTCCAGGAGAAACTAGTGCTCCTGGAGCTAGGAACCTCATCCTAGGTGATTCTGCTTGGCGGGGACCTCCTTTGCTGGTCCTGTTAACGCAGCATCAGCACCACAACACAGCAATCCTGGTATTGCTCATTCCTCACCAAGTGCAAACGCGATATCCTTATCAGCAATCTACCCACCTTGGCCTCCAGTTCGCAGGTGCTCATCACGGAGCAGATGGAAGCTCTTACCGTCAATCAGCAATTAGTTGATATCCTCACTAGCAACTTTAACAAAATCACATATGTGATCCCCGGTGTTGTTCACAGGTACCTCTTGAAAGGATTCAACAAGGATATCCTTGATTACTACAAGTCGAATTTTCCTCTAAAGAACTTAGTCAGTCCGGATAAGGGAAAGCTTGCCGACAATGTCGGAGTCTGACAGCACCGTAAGCGCATCTCCAACATAGCCCTTTGAGTTTTTCCTTCATTGGCTAGCAATGACGAGGTAGATATCAACACAGTGAAGCCCCCCACGTTGTTCTTACAATCACTGGACAACAAACCCACTTACAATCCTTTGGCTGGGTCGTTTGTTAAGCCTTGGGAAGTCGCCAGCTTCAGAGATTTCCAGGCTATGAAGAATAATCTGAATACTCTTGAAGCAAAGATCAGCGACATTCACCTTTGAGGATCTCGCGGCTTGCCAAATCTGACCAGGGGCAAGCACGGTCCAATCGCCTCTTATTCAAGACAAATATGGACTACTTTTTATTTTGTAAAAATATCATTTTTTCGCCCTTCCCCCTTTAGATCCACATTTGGATGTGTTGTTGATTCTGAGTTTTCTGCATAGCGGTCTGCATGAATTTCCTTGAGCATCTGAAAAATCCGATTGATCTCAGGTCTGAAGTTGCGGAGAAGCCAAATTTCTCAAATTATCAATGTCTGTCAATGACAGACATTGATTGAAGAATCATAAGTATCTCAATTCCAATTCACAACGCTTCCCGACCTTCAAAGATGTGACTCTCATGTTTAGAAATTACCTTGTGTCTAGCCTTAACTATCCTTACTGCATGAATTGTGTGATGCACGAGAACAGTTTGTAACGGTGTCGGTATTGGTATGTACACCATTTCAAACTTACCTGTCTACATGATCATTTAAATTTCTTTACTAACGCGTGTCTTCCTAGGAGATTTGTTGTTGGTCAGTCTGCATTTGTTTTGTATACAAACCCTAATGAAACGGGAAGAAGTCCTATTGCACGGTTTGCTTTGATGGGGTGACATCTGACATGTTACTCAAATTTCAATCAAAACTCTGCAGGGAACAATACAGATCAGGTTCACTGTCATGAGCAAGTCAATTATTGTAGGGCTCTTACTTGAGCTGCTGTTCAACTTATCTCCAACAAGACCTTCAAGATGAAAACAAGATGGATCCTACATTTTCCAATTTGTGTGCTCCTGAGCCAATCAATCCGAGTCCAATCAAAAGTTTCAATTCCTTTAACAAATGCCATCAATCTCTTCACCGTTTCAATTGGTATAGGTGATCCATCTACAATCCATCATCTTGTGATCAATACTGGTTCACTTGTCACATGGTGTGGAGCCATCACACTTTATGTTGAAACTAAATCGACTCTCAATTTAACTTAACAATGCAAATTGATTATGGATTTGGAGATGCTGAAGGTGAATATGTGAATGATACAATTGGTTTTAAATCATAAGATAATGATCATCAAATCATCATGCCAAAAGTAACAATTGGAAAGATTCCATCACCTGTTGTAAGTCATCACATCCGATCCTTCTTTTTTCTTTCTAATTCTATGTAAATTAATCTTATCTAAAGAAAAAAAGAAAAACCCGTTAAATTTGATCTTGATCTCTTTTTTCCCATTTTCCATCACAATTTGATGGAGGTTTTGGTTTTTTTTCTTAGGGATTTGATGGATATGATGGATTGATGGGATTAAATGCAGTTCCATGGGAGTCCAATCCTAACTTGATCATTGAAACCCAAACAGTCATGGTAAATATGTGGAAAAGAGGTTTGATTCAAAAGAATATGTTTGCAGTTAGTTCTAATCCGTTTGCGTCTCTCCCCACAATCACATCATGAATGATTCAAATCAATTGTTTTTTTCCTCGGCTTAGGTTTCTGGTAAACCTACTAAATCTATGAAACCAGAAAATAATGGTATGATGACTTTTGGTGGGTATGAACCTTCATTAATTATTGGTGAAATGTATTGGTATGATTGTTATTCAGGGAGGTATGTAACTTTTCAATTCAATTCAATATACATTGAAACCTCACTCATGATTTTGAAATGTGATTTTATTTTCTTCTTAGTCATTGGGATTGGACGGCTTCTGTTTGGTATGGAGAAACTTCATCGAGGTCAGATCCGATTCGTGGTAAATGATCATGAGGTGTTAAGTTTTCAAAGAACAAAGGTTTGTTGGAAAACCAACAGATGGCTGTGGACAGAATTCAAGCCCAAGTGATGGTCAGGTTATTCTGCATTTGAATACACATTGTGTCATTGACAAGATTTTTGTATCATTGATTCAAATGTAACACAATTAAAATTAGAATAAACAACATAATCAAACGGAGATGGAATGAGGATAAGAATGCAGGTTCCTCCAACATCTACTTCACATCTTCTAGAATTTGGTGTCACAAGCAGTGGATGTATATATGATGTATATCTATGTTATACAAAACAACAGGGATGCCCAGGTTTATCCAGTGGAATTTGTCAAGATTTGTTTGATTTTGCCTCATTTCCTATTTCAGAAACCCTTTGATGAATGTAAAAAAGGAAAAATTGAGTTGGGTAATAATTTTTTTGTAAACTGGTGTCTAGCAAATTGTACAGTTAGATTTTAACATAAATTTTCAAACCATTTTGGTCTAAATTTTTGCATCCAATGCATCATTATATAAGCAATGAAGTGATGTTGGTCCAGACCAAATCGAGTGCTGTTGCAGGTTCCAGTATGCTTAATTGCTTTAGGATACCTTTCCAACTGAATTTTTTCAAGTGTAATAGTTTGCCAAATCTTGTGTAACCACTGATATCCTTCAGCTAGAGTTGTGCCTACTTCCTCCCCCTCAGGATCGTAAATCAACTTGGCCTTCACTAAGAATAAAAGGAATTCATGTGTGAGAAAACTCAGTCTCATTTTCAAACAAGCTTTGAAAATAGATCTGCTTTTACACCCATCTATCTCTGTTTGACAGAAATCCTCAAGCCGTGTCATGACAGGAGTGACATACTTCTCAACTGTGTTAACAAAGGATGACCTGAACTGTTTCTTGTACATACATGCTTCATCCTGGGGTGTGAGTTTATCAGGCTTCTTTCTTTGGGGAAGATTATCAGGTACAACTTGAATATTCCCTCTTCTGACACCATTGTGGGTCAAGGTAACAGTATCCTGAGAATTGCCTATATTTCCAAAGGAATTTGTATTATGATGTGGTTTATTTGGAATGTGAGTGATACAATTGGACATTCTGGGCAATGTTTTTTGTGTAGGATAAGCTTCATTATGATTGGGTTAACCAGATTGATGAGTATTTAAAGTGGTTACATGGCTGATGGACAGTTCTGCCCCACTGTGGACTTTCCTCCTCTTATTCTGTAGGGTCATACCTTCAATGTTGGAGTGCATCTTCCTACTTATATCATCCTTTTTCATAGGTGTTTGGGATCCATCTAGCTCTTTGTGATAATTGAAAGATGATTGCAAACATTCACCATACTCTTTCCATGAACCTTCAAAAGCTTTCTTGATGTCTGGTATGTCAAGTGATGGAGTTTCAATGTTTTGTGGAACAAAGTTTGAAACCCTTCCTCCATTCATCGAGTGATCTAGATCCAGACCTTCACACAACTCTCCTCCAAGAAACTGTAGATTGTCTTTTTCAGACTTGTGCTATAGATATGGTAAGGAGTTTAATCCCATTGCATCATAAATATGGTAATCCAGAAGGTTGGATAAATCATCTATGGGCTGGCCTGTATGATCTGATCTTGGTATCTCATGCTCTAAATCAATGAAATTATCCTTGGATAAGTGTGCATTTTGTGTATTGTCAAAAGGATGTGAATCCACAGGCAGGACACTTGAAGAGATTGACGGAAACGTTTTTGAGGTGTGTCTGTCTTGAATATTGTACCAATCACTTGCCAGATCTGACTGCGTGAGTGGTTGGTATGAACTGAAGCAGTTTGTACCTTGAGATATTTGATCTGGAAGATAGTCAAGGATTCTGTGGTTGTGAAGATCTTCTGGTGTATTGATATTTGAAGGATGTTCAAGTTCAACAAAGCTGTTGGGTTAGGGTATAGAAGGGTTTGTGTTTTTCATGATGCTTAAGTTTCTTAACCTATTAATTTCACTATTTCTGTCAATACCAATACTTCCTGATTTTTCCTCTACACAATTTATTCATTGCCCTTGGTTCATAAAATGATCAAGTATTCCAAAGTATGATATTGGAAAATCATCTCTTGACAAATCATCAACCCTCCCCATCTCATGTGTGTTTGGTGATGCTTTGGAATCTACTCCTATCTCTGGACCATGAGGTATCATCTCAGTGGTGCAAAGAGCCTGAAGGTTGGCATGAGCTGGTGACATTTGGGCTTGAATTGGAACATACTGAATATCTTGAATTATATCATTTGGGTGTATTTTTTCAGGACGTCTTCAACCATTCCTTCTGGGAGCCGTAAGAGATCTAGATGATTCATGTAATCAAGGTCTCCCAAAAAGTTTGAAATCCATACATCCCCCTCACTGTACATCCCCTTGTCTTTTGCCTTGCTTGATCACATCTCTTTACCATGGTGATTATGGTCCAAAATCTCGCCCAATCTCCACATTAGCTCACACATTAGCTCATATGTTTGCCATTATACCACAGAGCAAAAGAAACCAAGTATTCAATTGATAAAATATCATGACTGATTTTATCAGTCATAAACCTCAATGTTTTGAAAACACAGATTTGACCAGGTAATGCTGGTCAAAAATAGGGTACAGATATGAGATATGACATACCATAGGTGCAGATATGACCAAAGCTGTTGCATTATTTACGCAACAGTTTCAGTTCACATAAAGACAAATTCATGAATCAGCAACACTGTGAAACACTTATATTTGCCACTTTCAACTACGCTTTCAATAACAGCACTACTTTATTCTGCTTTCAAGCTGAGACTGCTACACAAGGTATTCCTTTGCGTATCTTTTCAGTTCTGAGATATATATAGGCTGTTGCTATTTGCAGCCCACATGAAATCCATGTAGGAGCTGTCCAAATTATGCCTACACGGTTGGTTTCCGCCAAAAAGCGCCTACATTTATTATGTAGGCGCTTTTTCCTTTTTCAAATGATGCCTACAGGCTGAAAAACCAATGTAGGCGTCATTTGTGTACGCCTACATTCTAAAAATAAAATGTAGGCGCTCAAGTTAGTTATAAGGGTCTTATACACGTGTGGATACAAATCTATAAGGGTGCTGGTATTAATATATAAGGGTGTTGGTATTGAATTATAAGGGTGGTGAGATTAATTATAAGGGTGGTGAGATTAAGTATAAGGGTGCTGGTATTGAATGATAAGGGTATTAAATGTAAGAGTGTGCATTTGATTATAAAACTATAAGGGTCTTATGATCAATTATAAGGGTGTTGCAATTAAATCATAAGGGTGTTGGAATTAAATTATAAGGGTGTTGGTATTAACATATGTAGGCGCACAAAAATTATGCCTACAGTCAAAAAAAAGATGTAGGCGCATCTTCGTGACGCCTACACAATGTAGGTGCTTCAAACTTACGCCTACATTTCATTGTTAGGATGTAGGCATACACAAATGATGTCTACATTGGTTTTTCAGCCTGTAGGTGTCATTTGAAAAAGGAAAAAGCACCTACATCATAAATGTAGACGCTTTTTCATGGGAAACCTTCATGTAGGCGCTGTTTTGGCAGCACCTACATGGATTTTGTGTGGGCTGCAAATAGCAAGGGCCTATATATATCTCATCAATATACCCACGAAAAGCCTGCTTTAAATATATTTACACTTACACCCAATATCAGACTAATTGATTTTGAATTGATAAAAAATAGCTTATGGAAGCTACCTTTATATAAGTCCCTCAACAAGGAGACTTGGTGTGAGACAAACCACTGGTAGTGTACTGCAATCTGCATAAGTTCAGCAATGTTTAACTCTCAAAAAATATTAAGCTAATCTAACAATGAGTTGATATACAAAAGTGTCCTAGAAAGTAGAAAACTCACGACAAACAAGTCACCTGAGGAGCTAACATATAGAAATGATCTGAACATAATTGAATTTGAAGAAACCATCCCTATATTATTGATACATATTCAGAGTCAATTACATTTGATTAGAGTGTTTCAATAATGTTTGATCATCAAATGAGATAATGTAAAATCGAAATTGTTTGGTAAGGAAGAAATCAGTACCTATGTGTAGCAAACCAGTCACCTATAACATGTCCATTGCTATCATCGTATACACAGTGATTTCTTTACATACATAAAATGAATGCTTGTAATCATCTCATGATCTCTTGTCTTGATGTTCAATATTCAAAACACATCATATAAAAACACGTCATATGAATGTGAAAGTCTTTACCACCATCCCTATGGGTAATGTAGATCCCAAGTCTAACAATATATGAGTATGTCAATTAAGTTGTTATGATATCTCAATATGTTTACTAAGCTATGTTCATCATAACTGGATATACTGGATAAAATCTGGGACTTAGGTTAAGGCACCACCAACATATTTACCTCGGATTACAAAATCTGAGGTATCCTTGGATGCAAAAACTTGGACAGAACCTTCCCGAGGTTTTGATCCGAGGTAATTCTCAGGGCAAAGAAATACCTTGGGCAAAAACCTCGGACAAGGTTTGTCCGAGGATTTGCCTCCGATGATGCCTCGGATTTCTCAACCCGAGGCATCTATGCTGGCAGTGAGGATGTAAGTTGTACATGTCACCCACCCAATATCAAAGACGTATCTGCCAGATCTTTGACCAATCTTCCTTCCCCAAACCAGATTCATCTGCGCAGAAAATCTTCTACCAATCTTCCATCCTCAAACCGGGTTCATCTGCGCAGAGGTTTCAACTTTCCAGTTCTTGGAACAGCCTGTCCCGTTGGTCACGTCCTGTTTACATTGTTATTTGTTTTTGCTTGTTAGTTCAAGTTTGTACGTACATCTTTTTGAATCCACCTTTCCGGTGATTTCATGTTCTCATGGTTAATTGGTTTCCCTCTTTGGTTCAAGTTTCCAGTTCTTGAATCCGCCTTTCCCGTTGGTCACTTTTGGTTCTCAGTGTTATTTGTTTTTGCTCTTAGTTCAAGTTTGTACGTATATCTTGTCCAATCCACCTAACCGGTGATTTCATTTTCTCATTGTTGATTGGTTTTCCTAGTTAGTTCAAGTTCATGCTAGTTATTTCCAGTTTGTACGCACATTGCAACCGCCCTCCATGCCCATCAATACACGAAGCGGTAAAACAACCCCACCTAGAGCACTCAACATCCGCGGACTCAAACGGCATAGGCAGTTGGAAACTGAAAGAGATGAAGCTGAAACTCGACATCATAGGGATTTAGAGATTCGAACTTCAAATCGAACTCAATCCAACAGCCATTCATCCAATCGGCCTCACGATCAGTCTCAAGAGTCACCTTCTGATGCGCTTGAATTAGAAGAAATTAGTGTCCACAACTATGGACATCAGAAGAAATTCTGGCCATTGCAAAATAATTGAGGAGCAATTGAAGGCACAGGCTGCTGATAATAAGTCTCGACCTCCTCCCCTGATTGTGGCCAAAGCCAAGGCAATTTACAATGCTTTTCAACATTCGCTTCACATGCTTGCAATGGTTGGGCAAGTTAACATCAACACACTGAAATTGCATGTGTAAGTACATCATTTCTAACATCTCCGTACATTCTTTATCATTTAAACATCTGTATTCTTTGTATCGTCTTTCTTGATAGCGGTATTGCAGATGGAACTCGGGCTACGCATGCATGGAATCGATTCCTAGCCTTCTTAAAGCTGGCTTACAAAAACCCTAGTACGTCCAAGCTCACTTTGAGACTGAAAGTGAATATGATTATTCAGAAGGAACTGACCACTGTTTTATTCTTTCCAGTGCCCCTGCGGGGTGCTTCTGACGCAGGTCCGGTTCTAACCACGCGAAACCAAGCCAACAAAGCATACAACAAGTTGAACAACGACGAATATGCCATCTTCACTTTCCGCATCTTCCACGCCTTGGAAGGCTATCCTGACTATTCAGCAACACTGCCAGCATATTTGGCTTGGAGACAAACATCCGAGGAGTCCTCGGACAGCGCCCCCGAGGAAAAGGGCACCCAAGGGCTAGTTCCGAGGCAAATGTTGGCCCTGGCCGTTGCCTCGGATTGGATCCTCGGATGGGGGTTAACTCGGAGTCAGAATCCGAGGAATCCTCGGATTTTTGGCTCCGAGCCAAATATGCTGGCTGTGCAATCAATGTAGAAGACCATCAGACTGATGATGGGGACTGTGAAGTACTGATCCCTGAGGTTCCTGAACTTTCCCCGGAAGAGGAAGCACTCTATCGTCCTCTTTACGACAAGCTACTTGACTCGGCAAAGGTAGCAAAAGATTGTGCAAGATTCAAGACTCCTTCAGCCCAGAAAAACAAAAAGCTTTCCCTCTGAGCTTTCAAGAAGAGGGTTCAAGAGGTATGTGATACACAAGCTCATTTGAAAACTCCTTTATTTCATCATGGACCCCTCATTGTCCTTGTCCTTTCCTTCTTTCTGAAATACTTATGGCTACTTTTCATCTTCAACCACATGTATCTGCCCTATCTTTCAACTTTCTAACATCAAATGAAACATCATTGACTAACTATTTTCATTCAACTCTCCTTTCACTTCCAGCTTCACCATAATGCAATTCTTGCGGACTTCAACTACTACACAATTGCGTGCAAGACCTTGGGGACTGGTTGGTGACCTCTTTACCCAAAATCAGCACCTGGATGGACGAGCAGATCAAATTTCAGACAATATTCCCAATCTACTGCCAAGCCAGACCCAAAATCAATGAAATCAAGGCGGCTGGAGCGGCTGCCAAGGCGAGCAACAACACCAATAAAAACAAATTTAGTCGTCCTCCAAACAAGTCAGACCGCGAAAGTACCGAGCTCACAAGTTTGTTGCTAGCACAGATCAGTCAGTCAAACAAGATCAGATCTTACTACTTTTTGATTTTGACTGAGACAACTTCTTTCATTCAACTTTTTAGAGGCACTTGGTGTTACTCTTCGTACTAGAGGTTTTCCACGAGGTCCAGATCTGCTGGCTTTGTTTGATAAACACAAGGTTGATTTGAAATCTGTTCGCCATTCAGAATCAGTGTTGCCTATCAGCGAGGTCATGCTAGGATTTGATGGTATGAAAACTCTTGGTCGGCGACATTGGCTTCAAGACATCAAGGATAAGAAATTTAAGACGTTCAAGAAGAACTCACCTGTGGCTGAGTCTTGGTCAGTTCTGGGAGGCGAAGTTCAAGAGGGTGATGATGGTGAAGGTGGAGGAGACAGACCCGGTGGTGAAGGTGGAATATGTAATCATTGTGTCCATTTGTAACTTACTTTTATATTGTTTCTTCTTTATTCTAGTATTGTATTAAAATGCAACATAAACCGTTATTACAATGACAATGGAATTGATCAATGTCATAGTATTGCTCAAAAGAGCCTCAAGCAGTTGGATCAGATGCATCTGATACCTTGTTCATAAAACCAAAATCAATTGCTGTTCATTTTCACTTTTCACAAATGCCAAGATCACAAATGATAAGAGAGATAAATTCTAAGAATTGTAAAGTTCTACAAATTTAATTACTTTAAAAACAACATAGACGATGTCAAAAATGAGTCATGAACAAACAACACCTCAAAACAAACAAAGAATAATACGTCAAACGGAACAAATCGACAAACTGTATATAGATCAATGAGACTTTTCAGATCTTTCTTTGAACAATTCTATTCATTTCTATTATGCTCAAGGACTGTTTCAGTTGAATCTTGAAGTGAAAGTGCTACGCACAAATCCAACGTGTATAAATCTCTCGCAATTACCTCATCTCACTTATTTCATCTATGTCTGTCAATAGACAGGTTCTTTTCTTTCCAAGCACTGTTTCCGTCTGTTTCCGCTGAATTTTGAACAAGTCAAACGTGTATAATCTTCTGGCAGTTGTTTCAGGTTGTTTCCTTTGATTTTAATTGTGAACAAATCAAATGTGTATAAACTTCTGGCAGTTATCTCACTTCACTCACAACATACATTTCCTTTGGTTTTTGTTTTGAAATTAATGACGTCTATTGAACCTCGTGTTTACCTAGACTTCTGAGTCTGTCAGTTGTTTTCATTTGAACCTACACAAGTATCACATTTACTTTGCTTGTAGATACTTGAGTTTCAATTTTCTTGTAGTATGCATATTGATACCAATAATGAAACTAATGAATCCGATCACATGTACTAGGTAAAGATAACAATGATGAAAAACATAAAGTCATAATCCCTCTTGATGCTTTTGTAACAGAAAGTCTTTCAGAATGATATTGAGATCCATATATAGCAAACTGAGAAGTCCTATTGTCCAAAATGAATTAAAACAAGTGAAAGAGTAGCCCGACTGATCTAATGATGTAAATAATTTCAATGAGTAACTTAATCATACTAAACTTGATAATCCAGTACCTTTACCTCCTAATAGAAAAATCCAAGGTATAGTAGCTAAAGCGTGAAATCCGGCTCAATTTGCATTATCACTGAGATCAGATTCCGGAATGAGAGTACCAAGGACCAGAGCTGGGATAAGTAAGATGAGGAGGACATTATAGATTGTGAGTCAAGGGATGAGTCAAAATCAAATATGCATGGTAACAGTGTGTCTGATGTTTAAGGGTTTTGGTAAGCAGATGCATCTGTCCCGCATGGATACTGTACAGGAAGTGCATTCCCAAGTATTCAGATTTAAGTGCCTTGATACTTGGTTTGGTAACTGTGTTTTCCAACGCAGTTGGATGCGTGTATGTACCTCTGTGAATCTGAGTGAATATTCAGATTCAGGGACCTTGATTGGTCCTATGACACACTACGCAAGTTTATATGTATCTGGGATCATCAACCAAGGATGTACTGTTGTTGTTTTTTCATCAGTACACGCATACTGATGAAAAAACCACAGTGTTTACAACACAACTTTTGCTGTGTATGTACCACCCTGATTCTGATTGGATTTTCAGAATTGGGGACCTTGATTGGTCCTATGACACACTACTCAAATACATATGTATCTGGGATCATCACCCAAGGATGTACTGTTGTTGTTTTTTCATCAGTACACGCATACTGATGGAGAAACAACAGCTTTTACAACACAACTCTTGCTGTGTATGTACCACCCTGATTCTGAGTGGATATTCAGAATCAGGGACCTTGATTGGTCCTATGACACACTACACAAGTTTATATGTATCTGGGATCATTAACAAAGGATGTATTGTTGTTGTTTTTTCATCAGTACACGCATACTGATGAAAAAACAACAGTTTTTACAGCACAACTCTTGCTGTGTATGTACCACCCTGATTCTGATTGGATTTGAAGAATCAGGGACCTTGATTGGTCCTAAGACACACTACTCAAATACATATGTATCTGGGATCATCAACAAAGGATGTACTGTTGTTGTTTTTTCATCAGTACACGCATACTTGCTTTTGGAACAGTTTTTACAACACAACTTTTGCTGTGTATGTACCACCCTGATTCTGCGTGGATATTCAGAATCAGGGACCTTTAATGGTCCTATGACACACTACACAAGCTTATATGTATCTGGGATCATTAACAAAGGATGTACTGTTGTTGTTTTTTCATCAGTACACACATACTGATGAAAAAACCACAGTTTTTACAACACAACTTTTGCTGTGTATGTACCACCCTGATTCTGATGGGATTTTCAGAATCAAGGACCTTGATTGGTCCTATGACACACTACTCAAATACATATGTATCTGGGATCATCAACAAAGGATGTACTGTTGAAGTTTTTTCATCAGTACACGCATACTTGCATTTGGAACTGTCTTTACAACACAACTTTTGCTGTGTATTCACCACCCTGAATCTGAGTGGATATTCAGTCTGGGATCATCACGAAAGGATGTAATGTGGAATTTTTTTCATCAGTCAACGCATACCTGGTTTTGGAACTGTCATGAGAACTAATTTTTTCTGTTCAGTAGACTTACAAAAACACAAACACCTGGACATATAAGGAGTTTTATCAACCAAACTATTTATATGTATGTACATGTACACAAAATAGGTTGTGTACATGTTCAGGAATATGTACACAACCTATGACTATAGGAACAAACACACATGTCATCACATATATGTGATCCAAATCACATACATGTGAATCCAAATCACATACATGTGAATCCAAATCACATACATGTGAAACCAATTCACATACATGTGCATCCAATTCACAGTGATTCAAATCAGATACATGTGATTCAAATCAGATACATGTGATTCAAATCAGATACATGTGATCCAATTCACATACATGTGAATACAACAATCACAGCAATATGACGGTTTGTATTGCAGCTATTCACAAATGGTTTTAAATGTTTAAGCTTCAAAACAGGGCTTTCATTATAATCATGTTTTTCATTGTACTAGCATTCTCAGCGGCGGGCGCCGCCATGGATTCAATATTGAACCCCGTCAAAGAATTCTGTCTGATGCCCAATTTTGCCACACCTACCCCTTCATGGGATCACATCCAGTGTGGTCCCGGAACGTATTTTGACATTAGTAATACGTTGAAATCATCTTATTAGAGTCATTTAAAGAAAGCTTGCCCCCAAATTCACGCCAATATCCCCGAGCTTTGCGGGCAATTTGGGGCAAGTTTGTCTCAAAAGACTTTATGTGGCCTCATTCATTTGCCCCTGGATCATTCATTAAATTTAACCCATTATCAATGCTTGGTTTCAACTACCCAAAGGCAACCCTTAGGCTTTATATTCAAGTTTGGACTGTGATCAACGTAATCACCCAAGCCCCCGTTACGAGCAAGCACATGTGATTTGCACCAGGAAATTATCATTCATAACTGCTTGGACAACTAACCGAGCAAGATCAAGGCGTAAATGTTAATCGCGTGCCATTATGTACAACATCAAGGTTTTGTGGAAATGTCCAAAGACATTTTCGCCCGTGAACATGAGACGCTAAGGCTATATGCTCAAATTGAACGGAACACAATGATACCCTGCACTGTGTCCACCACATACGTTCTCGACGTCGAGGAGGGAAGATATTCCCAGTTTGTTCCAACTTCGTATGTGGTGGTCGCAGTGCTGTGCCCTCATCATTGTCATGCAAAAGCCCAAGTAATGTCTATTAGCAAGCATTTTTAGTCCATGCGTCGGGAACAAACGATACACACATTGTCAATCATTAGCCGTGTTCAAACCAAACCCGGTTGACCCAAAAACCCAGTACACCCAGTTGCATCTTTGGTGGTAACTTTGTGTATCTAGTGACAGCTCTTGACAGCTTCCAGCCAGAAAGTCAACCGGGTGTACCAGGTTTTTGTGCAACCGGGTTTGGTTTGAACACAGCTATTTGAGCGTGTCTCAGTTCAATTTAATAAATCCTCAACTCTGTCACTTTGAGCCGCGTTTCGAAATTGGCCAAAAAAATGGCCATTGCTTTTCCACAAGTTCTGATTGTAATGACATTTCAAAGTTAGCAAGTGGAGGACCTTTTCCAAAACTTGAGCTCACTTACCATCAACTCGATATAGTCCAAGCAACTCTTGAAATGACAATGTATGTGGTGGCGACGAAAAACTTCCGCCAACACTCTTTTTTCTTCCACGCCAGGCTCATGGCCAGTTATAAATACAATGTGTTCGAAATCGACAGGTTTTATGAGCGATTCCATCTTGAGTCCTTTCAATCCCTTGCGCCAATATTTGTGCGAGCACCAATAGTCCGTTATGTAAACCTGCACGTTTGCCAATATGTCTAGTTGCAACCAAGCCAGGCTAGGGTTCTCAACTGGCGAACTGATACTTCGTATGACCTTTAATTTAGGAAAACTCAAACGACTTATCTCGGCCGGGAGAAGATTTGGGACAGATTGTACAAATAAAATCTCTAGCAAATCCCGCAACGCCAAAATGACTTCGGATGCTCTATCGCACCCGGGATGCGCAAGATATTCTAAGCATTTGATGTTATGACCGTGGTTTTCACAAAAGTCTGTAATGGCGTTCAAGTCGTTCGTGTCGCACGCAGCCGCCAAGTGTTGTAAACTGGGGAGGGCTTCGCGATTTAAGCGCAGAGGTCGGATCGATCCAATGTCAAGTGATAGGGATTGTAGCTCGTTTGTCACATTGAGTAAATCTTCAATCAATTTTGGGTGATTTTTTTGAAGTCCATAGGGATCCGATGCAATGAACAACATTTTTAAACCTTTGATTTTTTTGATTGATTCAATAATCTCGGGCGTAAACCCTGCTCCCGATTTAAAACACAGTTTTAAGCTGGTTAAGGCATGACCACAAAATCTGATGACTTCCTCCACGTCCTCCAGCAAAATTGATTGATAGTTGAAGCTACTACTTTTGAAAGCAATTTGGTACGAAGCCGGTATGTCCTTCACGTTTGGATCAGTTTCCAGTTCTAAACTCATACCTGGCCAAACAATTCCGTCAACGCTAAGGTAGCTTAACCGGGCCACGGCTGAAATGTTTGCAGAGTGCCTCCAAGTTTTGACAAAGCAATTCATTACAAACGCTGAGGTGAAATGTAGATTTTGGTAGGCATACCGTAACACGCCTGACGCCCATGTTTTCCCAAGGAACCGCAAGTTTAAGAGTTCTACCAACAATGAATTCTCGAATGGAGGTTGGTCGGCGATATTTTTAGAGTCGGTGGGGGTCTCTGGTAAATCTTCGACGAAGTAGAGTAAGATCAAGTCCACGACACTGTAAACATCATTCAACTTCCCCAATTTGGCAGAGGAAAATGATTAATAGTACAGTTTTTCATAAAAGAATCTAATACTGCACACCTGGGCCATTTCACCCACACTACATATGTGCAGCAAGCTAAGTCAATAGTTTTCTATCATGTACATACAGGTCTGCTCAGTTTTTTGCCCATCAGAATAAATAAATCACATGTTATACCACATGTAACTTTTTTGACTTTGAAATTTTTTTCCCAAAAATTCACTACATATAATTCTGTAGCTGCTCAGGCAATATTGTTGAAGCTATGTCTTAGTAACAGAAAGTGTGTTACATGCAGTTGAGTTGATGAGATCACACCAAAACATTGAGTCAGTGTATGTAGTCAATCTTTTGGAAGCTTTTTTCAATCTGAAAGAAGTTACAGCATGTATTACATATGAATAACTTGTCCTGATGAGCAGATAACTGAGCAGAACTGTATGTACATGATAACCACATATTCACTGAGCCTGCTACACATATGTAGTGTGGGTGTTATGGCTCAGGTGTGGAGTGATAGACCATTTTATGACAAATCATACTCCCAATCATTTTTCCCTGCCCACTTGGGGAACCCAAATAATGTCTGCAGTGCGACTTCGATTGGGAGGCAGGAGATATTGGTCATTTTGCACTTCTGCAATCGCTCTAATCGCCCTAAGTTCATTCAATTGGCCCTTGATCAATATCAATATTTCGGTTTGACACAGTGATTGATCCCGATCCTTACTTATATCTAATTCACAGTATTATAATGATCTACTGTCTCGCTCGCCAAAAATTGCTTCAGGGCCCTCCGTTGATAATCTATCTCGAAAATCTGCGCCAGATCTATGGTTTTGAATTTGAGATTGCCTTCAATCCTCACTTGCGTTCTGATATCGCAAATTACTCATTGAAATTGTGTAATTCTTGCATTGCATGCCTCCATGCTCCAGTCTTGCTTAGGGTTGCAGGCTAGAGGCGAAAGCATGATTTTAATGACGCACTTTGCGTACCACTAAGCATTGTACTCAGCTGCAGTTTAGTGATTTGGTGTTTGCAATGTACCCAAACCCCAAAGTTAGAATTGTCGCGTTTCTCACTCTTAGTTACCCGTCGGCTCTTGGGTTTTGGCACATAATTTTACTTCCTACTGATTGTTGCGTTCTCCACACATGGTCACAATTCCAATTTCAAAGCATGCGTATTGTTGGACCCGTGCTTTATTTATGATTTAAATTCATAGGTCACCTTATGAAAAGATCCAGGGCGAGAGCGGACAAAGATTTGGGCTTACCTGTCGACCCTCGATAATAGGTTCAGTCTAATCAGAAAGTCGCAAGCGTTCTAAATTCACAAACAACTGTGAGTCATTTATTAGACCTTCTCTTGATTTGATCTACCTCTACTGGAAAATCCAATTTGCTCAACTTTGTCTTTCCTTCTTGCTCGTAGCACTTTACAACATCCTGTTTGTACTGAGCCCATTCTTCATCAGTTTTTCCTTCTCTCACTTTCAATTGCCCTTCAATCCGATTAAGCAATACCCGGTTGATTTGTAGAGAACAACCGAACCGAGTGATTGGTGAATCCTTCGCTTTGATAGCAGTCCAACTATTGTCGAATGTAGCCGAGCGCAAGGTATGATGAGTTTCATCTGATGCCCAGAGGCTTTCTATGACTCCATTGCATAAGTCAAGCCCACGTTCTACGTGATATTGATCGAGTATGACATGAGTATTGACAGTGTCCTCAAGATAGTCAGAAGCTTCCACATGTTGTAATTCGCCCGCGTCCCGATTTATTTGAGTAAAGATTGTGTAAGTGTAGGCGCTGGCGTTTTTGTCGTCATGCGGGTTGTTGAACCCATCGCGTGTAACGACTACGCTTGATGCAAAGATGTTTGCGTTTGGCGATTTTGACCAAGTCGTGTCAGAGAGTGAAGCAATCTTGTGTTTCATTGCCAAGTCCTTATCTGATTGATACGCGCGCAGGCAGAGCCTTGCCATCCACTCAGCCATAATTTCGTTAATTAACGCAAGGTCGAGCATACGCTCCTGATCTTCGAGTATCAACGATATCTTCTTCCCAGTCTCCGCGTTTAAAGCCGTTACCCCTGAATCCCCATTGTCAAAAATTACGTCATATAAAATCCCAACCCATTAAATAAACTCTCGGGCCAGAGCGAAAAACATGGCTTACCCATTTTACGACCTTTGTCATATCACTCACGGAAACCAGCGCTTCGCATCTCTGCCCAGTCTTTTAAGCTTTGGACCGAACCTGTCACCTTGACTTCCCCTCTAGCTAAGGTGTGTATATACAGAGTTTGCACTACAAACTCCATGTCTTCCTTTAAATCCCTGCACATTTGAGCAAAAGGGGTAAACCGGCTGACCTGAAGAACCTTCCAGGTGTTGGCGTCTAGCGGAACCGAATTGCCGAATTCAATTTTTAGACGGGGTATTTCGGGCAGGTATTTCAAGTCGTGTTTTCCAAAATATGAATATGACAATGTTTCGGTATTCCGAAAGTCCGAGTGAGTTCCTCTCGTAGGGACTCAAACCTCGACACTCTGATTCCCTCTTGATTTGGGTGATTTCCGAGCTTACGCTTAGCCCTGAGCCGGCCTCGATCCTTGTCCTTTTCTTTCGTATACTCAATAGCACTCCTAGATTGTTTCTTGTTTACCTTTTGTGGGCCTTTTTCTTTATTTATCCTGCTGACAATGTGATCCAAAACACCAGAATCAGTTATAAACATTCAAGATTGCCTTGGGAAAATCCATTCTTATGTTCCGCCGGAAGAGCTACGCCCCGAGTCTATGGTTCTTTCCCACATTTGGAATTTGATCCAGTTAACTCGGGACTGACCCATCCACCGCTATAGAAAAATTGATGGTTATTATGGGTGCGCAGTAGGCAAAAAGCAAATGACCAGAGGGAGATTAAGCATACCTCGTAGACATTCTTTAGCAGTAATAGTTGCCGCCTCAATCAGGTTGATTATCGGGGTTACAATTTGAAATATCAGGTTATATGTTTGAGCAATGTTAGCCAAGCTTGTAGTTAGTATTCATTACATGTTGAGTATTATAAGTCGATCGAATGAACCAGGTCCAATATCAGATTTTTCACTTATGACAATGCCGAAGGACAAATTCGAGTCACGTCCAAGCTTACTTTGTTACCATAAACCAAAGTACAAAACAGGTTGAGGTACCGTCTGCAATCGTTGAAATAGGATATCAAGATCGAATCTTTTGAGTAGGAAGGAAAGATGATATATAAAGTGACACAAGTAACTAATTGGTTTGATTTGAACTTCGAACTTTGCAAACATGGGTATTTTTAGGGGGGGATAGGTTTGAGCCAACTGAGCAGCCCACACGTGTTAAATTCGTAGGATTTTATTCAATGCGTTTTAACTTGTGAAACTCAGGCCACACCGGCTTATGTATGGCGAAAATTCCAAGCATGTCATAATTGAACTAACCCATAAGTCGATAGGCTTCTACCAGGCACGAGTATCCTTAGAGACTAAGCTTTTCAACTCCTAAAATCCTACGTTCTTTACATTTAGCATATCAAAACAGTACATTGCGCGAAATAATTTACAGTTGGCGGAATCGCGATATATGGCTAGGAAATTTTTGTTCCTTGGATCAAGCCAGGAGCGCTTGTTCCTTCAATATAAGTAAACTTCAACCATCCTCGATCTAACTTATACTCCCCATACAATCCCAGTATGGTAACCTCCTATATCATGCTTGCGGTGAGCAATGTAACAGAATGTATCCTGGCGCGATATTCTGGGCATTGAGCCACCACCGATCAATTGTATCTTGGAGTGCTATACTGATGCTTGTCTTTCAAGTTTCCCGTTTACGTTCCCTTGAATGAGTTATGAATATTAACTGCGGACGTTCACTTTGGTCTCAAACTTTGGCGCTTACCTGATACCTTTCTCCGAATGCACGCGCGAAAAGTTCCGGAGTTGGCCACCTCGAGAAGTCTTTTGTTCAATTGTTGCTTTGGTGCTTCCTTTTTGGCTTTGCTACCCTCCGCGTCGAGTTCGCGGTTGCCAGATTGACCGGCTTTGCCTGTAATACATGCGCGGGAGACATGATTGAATGAGGTTTCAAAGGTGAAAGTTAATAAATCCACTTACTTGAGTGTTCAACCGCGTCGAGCATAGCAAGATCTTGCTCTCTAAAGACCCAGGGGGTCAAAACATCAACGTCACAACCAATGTATTCTACTCGAATCCACCAGTTGACCAATTTCAGCTATTGAATACACGTGCATTTTGAAATATACCCTGGCTTACGTGGAGCGTCTTTAAGTTCCATTGCTAACACATCAGCACGTGCTTTCGCCAAGGCTTGTGGGGACATCACGAGCATGTTCATGCTGTAATCTTTCCCCGTGGTTACTCGACGATATGTTTGAAAAGCTGGCCCTGACTTGAATTTATGAGGGCAACCTTTACCGCGGTCTTGCCGATGTCCAAATTTGCCGCAGTCAAAACATTGGTCGTATCCAGCGTGGATCAGAGGGTGTGCCATTTGCCCAATCTTTAATGGACGCAGTTCGGATTGTTCTTGTGGAGAGAGTCGATCGAACCAGGCAGAGTCGTGTTTTGATTGATTAGCCATGATATTGGGAAGAAGTAGTCGATCAAATTACTCCAAGCGTTGTCGGGCCTAACCCTTTGAGAGTTGGTCTTTTAAGCGCAAAGCTCACGGATGGCAACTTCCTCAAACACAATTAGTAATTAGGATATGGGATATCTTAAGCAAATTTATTACAAAGCTCGTCTTGTCAAGTCATCGCTTAAGGTTTGTATCTAGACACGTGAACTTTATGCTGAGCATGCCCCTTTGGCATTTTCAAGCCTGGTTTAAATCACCATTTATACTTTGATACTGGGGCAATATCGGGCATATACAAAAACAAATAGGGCAATCTCTAGTTTTTGTTGAAAACAAAATTTGCAAAATACACAATAACGTCTCAAGATTCTCCTTCACTCGTTCGCCCTTTGCCCCTTGGTATGCTTCCCATTCCAATTCTGCAAATCCTATGATCAATAGGCAAAAAGTCATGTTTTTTAGTTTTACGTTATATATATATTCAACTTAGACTGGGGAGTCAGACTTACCATGATCTGTTTGTATCTTAAGTGATAGGCGAAAACACACTCTATTTTATGACTCTTAAAAGCCGCGACTAACTCATTGTCTTCTAAGCTCGGACCCTTAGAACTTATGAAGACAATTCGTTTGAATTTTGGAGGCAACTCAATCGGTTTACGTTGAATCAATTTCAAAAGTTGTTTCCAATAAGCGCTCCCGTGCCAGTAGTGGGCGATGAGAACCTGCATGTTTTTAAAGATTGGTTTATGTAGCCATGCGTATCCAGAGGGCGAAGAAGCGCAAGTCAAGCAACGCACGACCCGGAGGTTAACAAATTCCAAATTGGCCACATCTCGGGGAAATCGCCCTGGAACTGGATCCACAAAAATGGTTTCAAGCGAATCTTTTAAAGCCATGAAAATCGGGCGGCACTGATCTCGGGCTCCTGGGCTTATAAGCTCGAGGAATTTAATTTTTCTATCTTCCGCTTGGCAGAAACGAGTGAGAGCTTCCATGTTCCCTGGACGAACCACCAAGCAGAGGTGGGCCAGATTGGGCAATGATCCAACGTTTAAGTTTAAGGATCCGAGTGAATTGCAATTAATTGATAATGATTCTAATGAAAAAGTCGAGTTGAGCAGAGCTTCAAAAGAGGCTGAATCGTTGAGCATATGTCGAAGTTTGCCACCAACGATCCCTAATACTTTGAGTGCTTTAACACCACTGATTGCATTTATCATATCTTGAGAAAACTCAACCGAGTGTGCGAATTTGAGTTTCAATTCTAATAAATTCTGGTTACAAACATTAATTATCTTTGTTGCCGAGTTCATTGCTACTATCGAGCAATTTTGGAGGTTTTGCGTGGATTGAAGCTGGCCATCTTCGGGTTTGGGCTTCCTCTTCAGTAAATGCTCGCCTGGGTCGGTTGATGAAAGCACAAGGCCGCTGAAAAAAATACATCGTAAGGCCCGGAATGTACCAAGGTGAGGTGCCCCCTTCCAGGAAGTCAAAAGAATGTTGGCCTTCCTTGTTGTGTTTAGGTACAAAGCTTTGTACACAAATGGTACAATTGCTTCGTTCCATGATTTTGCCAATAAACGCAAGCGTAACAACTGCCTTGAAATTTCAGGATGTAAGTAAGATATATTTGCGCTGTTTAGGGGATCTTGTTCCATAAACCCTGCGTTCTTAATATAAGCGTTCAGAATTATTTCAACGATTTCCACTGGTAGTTGTGTGTTGCGAGTGTTATGATGAGACATCAACCTATCTAGAGTCATTTTGACCCTCAATGCCAAAGAACAAATATTTGTAGCAAATAAGCAATAATAGGTGTTGTGGTTGTGATTTTGGGTCATGATGACCGGATGAAGGCTTTTATATGTTTGCTACATTGGAAATGCGGCTACCTAATTTGTTACCTCGCTGGAAACGACACCTAATTTTGCGCATTATCTTTGATATCAATGAGAAGCCAGTGTACTTACCGCGAAGAAGATGCCATTGCCGACTATTAGACCGAAGCGATATGACAAGCTACGCAATTCATCGCCAATTGTTGCCTTAAATTCAAGTTGCCAATGTAAATCATACCCTGATTCTGACGCGTGATCATCGCTTTACTCGTCACGCTTCGCCAAACGGCTATAATTGGTTCAGATATTTTCCCGAGCAGCTTGATTTTCACGAGGAGCTTATCATGACATTGATTTCCCATTTTGCGAGATCGATCATATACCATAAAATATGTGTTCTCGATATGCCAATTCCTACAGATTAAAGCCCATACATTCAAGCCCTCTTGTCTTTCCATAGTTTTAGCTGAATCTTTGGCTAAAATATTTAAGCACGTGTGGCAGGGTCAGGGTTGACATTTTTGCTTTAAACATTGCCTCCTTTGCCCTAGCAAGTATAAGGCTGAAGGAATCAAATCCAACCTAGGAAACTATTGTCTGCGATGAAGAATAAATTTGGCTACGATTTTGACATGTCTCATGGTTTCCCTACTATAAACCAATTGGAAACAACTCGAAATCTCAAGTTTTAACTTGCTGAACATTCAAATACCTAGGGCTGTTATTCTTCAACGCAACATCAAAATTCAACTCAAAGGTGTTGATTTGACCTCTCGTACTGCTCTCAATACTACATCAAAATGTTTTCCCCATTTTCTGAGTGTTAGTCTTCGTTCTTGGGCATACATAACCTGCTGCATCAGAAATTGACAAAGAAACACTTGGCCTATATCTTGCGCTTATTGCAGTTTGTGCTTGATAGTCATTGCATGGCTCAATCCATCAAGACTGGATGGTACACAATATTGCAGGTCTCTAAAGCGTCTGAGCGCGAGCTAATGCAAACATGGACATCCGAAGCATTCGTGCATCTAGAAAGAGCTACGTATAGTTGGCCATGCGCAAAAACAGGCTCAGGCAGTAACACAGTGACTTTTTCGAGACTCTGACCCTGACTTTTATTAATAGTCATGCAGAAAGCCGGGGTAATTGGGAATTGATATCGATTGAAAGGAATGGGGCAATCGTCGTCCCCTTTGTGTGACAGTAACATTTTTGGCAAGCTGATCGAGTTTCCCTTCTGTTCGCCGGTTAGAATTTGACAATGAATTGCGTGCTCTTCGCAATTGGTGATCAAAAGTCGAGTTCCATTGCAGAGTCCATCACCCAAATTCAAATTACGTAAGACCATTACAGTGGCCCCTACCTTGAGTTTAAGAATATGAGCAGGGAATCCGGGGAAGTTGAATGAATTTAGTACGTCTGCGGAGACCCCTTCGAAGAAGTTGTCGTCCATAGTATTGGTTGAAACTGAGGTTCGAATTGAACCTGGTAGCAAATCAATAACGTGATTGTTCACTGCGCGGACTGTTGTATTGAGTGGCGTTATTAAACATCGAGACGCATATAAATTGGTTAACAAATTCCAATCTTTTCTGTTGATCAAGTCGTTCACACCGATGTATTCATCTTGAACTATTTCTGGTTCAAACCTTGTGGGAGGCCTTACTATTGAAACATTGCAGTACATTATTGGCGTTGGGCATACGTAGTCTTGTTGTAGTGTTCCTGAACCTAGATCGAGCAACCATTTAGCAAAGTCTACGTTCATTGGATTTTGTCGACGCGCCAATCCCCCAAGCCGTATATTGACCCTCAATTTGAATTTTTGTATCTCGGCCCATAGGTAGGAGGCTTCCAAGGTTGTGTTCGCTTGGCTGAATAGGTTGCCCCTCCTGACTATGGGCAGCGTCTGGTGGAAATCGCCTAGAAATTGTACAACGGCTTTAGTTTATGTGCAATACCTACCCTGTTTCTTATATTTGTTTTCTTGTAGGCTGACGTGATGTGCAATATTGCTTACCTGCAAACAGAACAATCTTCCCACCAAAAGGAAGTTCAACACCTGTTAAATTGCGAAGTGTCCTGTCAACCGATTCGATCGCATGACGGTGCTGCATCGCAACTTCGTCCCAGACGATAAATTTGACCGATACGAGCCTTCGTCCTAGAATTGTGTTAGGTGAGATTGGGCAGACAGAATCTTCGAATATTGGAATGGGGATTTTGAATGTACTATGTGCCGTTCGTCCGTGGAGTAGCAGGAGAGAAGCTATGCCAGCTGCGGAGACCGCTTCGAATGAGACGTGATTACCATTGCAAAAGTGGAGCATAGTGTTGAGCGTAAATGTCTTCCCAGTGCCCCCAGGTCCGTCGAGGAACGCTAACTGTGGTCTTTTGTCCTCTATGGCTTCCAGGATGTAATCGACTACCGTTCTCTGCTCGGCCGTAAGTTGTTGTGACATAGTTTCATACTTCGTCCGACTTTCTCTTGGATGAATGGCTGAGCTAGTGTTTGTGCCCTCGTCATGGGGTAAGCCAAGGTCAAACATTAAGTCACGGTCTACAGGCATCAAACCTACAGATTGTAAATCACTTTCCATGCCGATGAGAGTCCTCTCAAATAAATGAAGGGCGTAGTTCTGAATGTGTTCAAGATTGCGTGAGGATTTAACCTTAAGATTTTATGTTTGCAGTCGTCGGAGAAAGCTTCGATATGTTCACTCCATAAGTGTATTGGGTTTGAAGGTGCGCTGTGACAAAGAATAATAGCCAAAATCTGCCTTAGTTGATGTCCAGTCTTCCAAACAGCGGCTTCTATAATTGATTCGTGATAATGTCTGTCGTTCAAAAGCAAGCCACTTTGTTCCGCCGCCTCTCGGAAAGTGCTATAAACAACGTCATTTACAGTCCTAAGCGACGCAAAAGATGTAGGGCCAGCAACGTGCTGAAGCAAAAGACATAGGTAATATACGTCGCCGCGTCTAACCCCGGCGTAATAGATTCAGCCTATAGATTCGAGTTTGTTCTTTCTTGCCTGAAACCTTTTCGTCGTCTTGATCCACCTGAAATATTTCGGCACGTCCTGATATTTTATCGACCTTATAGTTTCTTCCGATCTTGGCAGTCTACAATTTTCGCGACATAACCGAAAATACTCTGTAAGAGTTGTCCGTGACGCGCGCCCATTTTCCATGGCTCTGCGAAGGCCCTCTTCGTCGAGATAGTAAACTGGTTGAGCTTCTTCTAGATGGAGGTTAAGCCTTTGAACCGCTGGGTACCGGCCAGAAATTTTGTATTGCATGAGCCGCCAAACAGCTATTGAGGCCCAAGTCAGTACAATATCTTTGTTTGCAAAATACAACACTTACCTTCAGGTGCGCTCAAGAAGCGAGCGTTTAAGAAGGCTAACACTTCATCCCTATTTCCTTGATCTTCAACGTTTGCCATTGTACGATCATGGCCTTTCAAGATGTACTTGAATAAATATTTGACGGCTCTTATGCTCGCCACAACTTCAACGTTCAGGTGGCACTGATACTTCAGTAACAAAAATCGGTTGTAAGGCACGACACTACCGTTGTCAAAACGTGTTCCCCCGTTCACACACGACCTTCCATTGCTGGGTCTTTTGTAAGTTGGATATTGGTTGTCTGGCATGGAAGTTGTCTCGCAGAACGGCTTAGGGTACCCAAGCTTGCATTCAGTCCCTGTCCAACATTTGTAGTTTTGACACGGACCGTGCATCATGTGGTGAGTTACGAGACGAAACAAATCCGGTTCCATTTCAGGATCAGGAAGTTGTGCTGAAATCAGACAGTCAACGCTTTCGGGTGTTGTGGGTCGTGAGGCAGCGTCTAGGAACAGGATTAGATGGGCGTGGGGTAAGCCCCGTTTTTGAAATTTGTTTGAGTACACATAAGCCGTGAATTTACCGAGCCTTCCCCATTTTGTAACATCGCTCAGAAGTGCGTGGAACCTTAAGTGAAACGCTCGAGCTACCAGGTCCGGACGATCGTCGGGAATTTGCCCATCTTCCAGAGCCTCGGTGATCTCGTTCCATTGGGGATTGGCAGTCATTGTAATGAATAAACTGGGATGGCCAAATTCAGCCACCAGGCTCATCGCATCTTGATACAGAGCTTGCATGTGCCGTGGTCCGCCTACGAAGGTCGAAGGTAAAACAATCCATTGCCCCACAATTTCATCATCTAACTCGTTACCCAACGCTTCTACGACGCCGTTGTATAGCTCAGCTCTAAGTTCCCTTTGATGAAACCGAATGAAATTTAGCCGAGCATGTTCTACGCAAACGTACATGTCAACTGCAAATTCTTGGAACAGCAGCCCTGATGCCAAGATAACTGAGTAGCTACTTCGTTTAAAAATGAGGTAGGCGAACCACTTTAGACAAGTGATTGTGCCTTCAGGATCTAGTTGTCCATGAATAAGAATTAGCAATATCATAAATAGGGATGAAATAAGGTGTCATGTACTGTCTTCAGTTGGATTTGTGTAAGCGTCGTGCCACAGTTGTGACCCATAGGGAAATAGCAAGGGATACCGTAGTGCAAAGTAAGCTGTATGCAGCTCGGATATTGCCTCAATTTCTCCGGATTGCCTCCTGAGGATAATGTCACGCCCTTGGCGCCCAATTTCGCCATTGCCATCAATTATCGCAGCGACCTTGTTGGCTGTTGGTCGATTATATCTTCTGTGATCAGTTCCAGGCACGCTTATTGTGTTGATTCGAAGAGTTCGGACGGGTCCAATTGAGTTGCAAATTGCTGCGGCTGATTGGAAAACCTGCGCGTAAGGATTTTTTTTGTACATAAATTCTTGGAACTTGAGCATAATCTCTGGGTCAAGCCGGGTTACCCGGCTGCGTTCAATGCGTAATGCTGCTTCGCGTTCACCGCCACCCCCATAGATGTATATTTGGGCGAAGCCCGGGTGACATTCAGGCATAGGCATTAGTGAGCCTATGAGATGGAACATTTGACCGTTGATTCGAAAGATGGAGTGACCACGCTGGCCTAATACAGAGCCATCGATATTTGCGCCCAAAGACGTGAAAGAGAGAGCATTATTGTATTTTTGGATGTCCTGCCGAAAATTATGGGATCCTGGGGTCGACGCTTAGTCAACGGAAGCTAATTACAATAATTGTTGGCACTTACTTTCGTCATCGCCCTGCAGAAGCTCCTTATAAAATTCGGGTATTTGTTCCCCGACGTCTTGAGGGAAATATTTTAAAGGCAAATCAACTTGGCCGTGATTGCAGCAATTGCGGAACGTAGCCGCGAGCAAGTTGACATCTTTGAGCCTGCGTTCTGCTTTCCACCTGAATGCGCCACATTCTGTGCATTCATCGTTCTGAGGTCCCAGGTTGAATGGTATTTCGCCGCGGAAATAATGGAGCAAGTTTGCCTCTGATCCAAACTCTTCGGCACGTATTGCAACACCGTGGTTCTGACGCCGCATAGAGTTTCGAGGCATGTTTCAGCACTTTCCGAGCTCCTCTACACAATAAACGATCTGTCATTCTTCTTTCGTAGCCGTAAAACAGTTGTGGAGATGACTCAAGACGTAACTCACGAAATCTGTTCGCGTTGTCCTTGGGGTAATTATTTGGTATTACTTCACGCGTCTCTATCGTAGATCGTGAAATTTAAAACAAGGCATGACACCAATTAGGGACACTGGTTGAGTACGAGCAACCATATGGTTAAGGTAAGGTCTTGTATTTATACTTGCACGTGAAATATCAGCCGCGCTTTGGGCTGTTGCGTAGGTTGACTTAGATTGCTTCTTCAAGACTTTCTTTGATTTTCCATGGTCTTGAGGCGATAGACTTAAATATTGTATCATGCCATCTTTCCTGAATATCGATTCTTGACGAAGCTTAATTAAAGGATTGATGCTGGCCGATCCTTGTATTAACATATATCACCTATGGCCGATGGATATTTTCGCGAGCTAAGTGACAGTTCCGAGTGAAGTGTCGAGGTTCTCGGGTTGAAGAGTAGGTCTCGTACCTGAAGGACGATAACAAGGTGTGCGTTCACCAAGAGAACTATGTGACTTTTTGATGTATGCTCGCTAAACATTTGCCGCAGATACACATTACAGTTTATGATTATTCGTTTGAAGTGTTCGGTTCGGCTGTGCCGGCTTTGAAGCCGAGCGAATCATGATTCTGAGTGCGTGAAATTATGGATTACCCTTAGTGATGTAGTTTGATTTTGTTTGAGGAAATCGCATGCATGCTTGATTCGAAATAAAGCAAGGTTATTGCACAATTACCCTTTGAGTTTAATGTTTTTAATGTAATTTGAGGAACCCGTCTTGATTTGCGTTGGGTGAATAATATTTGGTCGAGTCTGTGCCACAAGCTTCAAGTCGTGTAGAGCATTGAGCAACCCAAATCCGATCTACGAGTACCTAGTAATGTTATACCCGAGATAACCATGAATCGTATGATAGGCCTGATGTTTCAATGTTAGCCCTGTGGATTTAATCTTTGTTAGCGGGCCATTGAAAGTCGAATCGATTGGTATGATAACCACGCACTACCAGTACCCGCCTTTGTTGACGGGAACCAAGGGTCTATGATGCACAAGCGGAGACAAATTTACGCTGGGTATATAGCGTGTTATCAAAGTTTTAACATATGGACCATTTCGATTTCGTGAGGAAAACCTAAGGTTTTGGGTGGATGATATAAACCTGGTCAGTTACGATTTTTCTCGTTATTCTCAAGAAAGAGCTTACAATTAATCTCCAACACCATGATCACTCTTCCAACCTACATCGTAATCTCAAACCATATATCTAAACTTAAAGATGCCGTTAATAGTAATAGTTTGCAAGAATTAACAAAATTGGTTTATTTCTCGCAATTGGAAGTAGTGGCGGCTGTCAGTAAATTTGAAGAGGCTTTTGGAGGCAAAGGACCTTATTATACACTTTGTTTTGGTGATCGAGAATTGTTGTGCCTGCGAATTGACATCTTTGTGACTCCGGCTGCATTACAATCCATGCAATCTGCGCTTATGTCCATGGCTTTATGGACAACTATGGATTACAAAAACGTTCCGGAGTTTAGGTACTGTAACTGCCTTGTGGTAACTTCCCCAAACATGAAGCTTACTCTTTTTCTTGGGAATTTACGCTAGATATCTGGAAGATTTGTTTGACCTCAGGCTATTGAAGGATACCATAGTCCCTGGTAGTAGTACTCAAGTTTCAAATCAATCAATCGACCGTATGGTTACAACCCTTTTTGGACAGTCTCCAACCGGTGTGCTATATCTGGGCATAAACCAAAGCAAAACTCATGTGACTCGTGCCTCAGTCTCAATCAAGTATCAGAAGCGTGGCATGCCTCACGGTCATTTTGTTATGCCTTTACGCTGCCCTACCGTAAGCCAAGGCCGGTCGCAGGTATTCACTAAATTGTAAAGGTTCAATCTCGCCTCGACATAGTATCTTAGGGCAACACTGCCATTTATACACTGTTTTGCAGTCCTGAGCAATGGCCCAATGCCAAAATAGAAGTAAAGAATTATTAAAGATTATGATTGCTAGAAATGATTTATTTTCGAGTCTGCTAAAGGCTGTGATTTTGTCCAATTATTTCCTTGCCTTTGCGTAATGAGCCGACATACCTTCGGTATCAGTCGTTTTAAACTTTATTTTGCTCTACGTGATCGGGCAAGCATTGAGAGCAATCCAACACGTCACTGCCTCTAGATCAATGTTATTCTTAGATTTGAGTAACAACATAGGAACACTCTATGTTAGGCCAGGTTGTAAGGCATGGACATAGCTTGACATATGTCACTCCTGAGACGACATCTCCTCAGTTCACGCTATCTTCTTGACTTAGTTGCTGAGCCTTGTGCTCGAAGTTCAGAACTACCCCACTTGTGTGTCGGGGTTCAATCTTTGGATTGACTTGGTATAACGCTCAACCGTGTAATAAGAATGCCCCAAGGCAAGATTTAAATGATCTTACGGAGGGCATCCTGCTCAATGACATCAAGCTATGCTTTGTTTCTCTGCAGAACTGATAAATCCTGAGTAGGCCAATTTTTTTTCGAGTGCAAATTGAATTCCAATTCGCATTGGAACATATATTGTCACGGTTTTAGGTAGAAACAAATCACGACTGGCACTCACTCTGCATCTGCGATGTTTAAGGATGCTTTTCAATGTATCTTTAGCTCAAGAATTTGCTGAAAAGCGCGATTTAGTATCGATTTGATTTGTTTTGAAATGGGACTTCGATTTGCTACATTTGATGCTAGCCCTGAACTATAGTGTTATGGCTATATAGGTTGAAAATGGTCAAATTTGGTGGTTAGAATTAGTCTTAGTTATTTTGAGATACAAGTTATGATGGTCATTGTTAGGCAACGATTGCTTGCGCCTTAAGCTTTCTGTCGTTCGACCCATGCGATTGAGTCCTGCCAATACTTGAGGTCAGGATTGGGTGAAAATGGGCTAATCGCATGAGCTTTAAGCGAGACTCACCAAAACCTCTTGCACTGCAGACATTATTTGGGTTCCCCAAGTGGGCAGGGAAAAATGATTGGGAGTATGATTTGTCATAAAATGGTCTATCACTCCACACCTGAGCCATAACACCCACACTACATATGTGTAGCAGGCTCAGTGAATATGTGGTTATCATGTACATACAGTTCTGCTCAGTTATCTGCTCATCAGGACAAGTTATTCATATGTAATACATGCTGTAACTTCTTTCATATTGAAAAAAGCTTCCAAAAGATTGACTACATACACTGACTCAATGTTTTGGTGTGATCTCATCAACTCAACTGCATGTAACACACTTTCTGTTACTAAGACATAGCTTCAACAATATTGCCTGAGCAGCTACAGAAGTATATGTAGTGAATTTTTGGGAAAAAAATTTCAAAGTCGAAAAAGTTACATGTGGTATAACATGTGATTTATTTATTCTGATGGGCAAAAAACTGAGCAGACCTGTATGTACATGATAGACAACTATTGACTTAGCTTGCTGCACATATGTAGTGTGGGTGAAATGGCCCAGGTGTGCAGTATTAGATTCTTTTATGAAAAACTGTACTATTAATCATTTTCCTCTGCCAAATTGGGGAAGTTGAATGATGTTTACAGTGTTGGTAAGTCATTTTATTTCTAAAGTAACAGTTGATGCCATGTGATATACAAACGTCTGCTAAATGCGTGTCCGATGCACCCAAGCCTGCCTGCGTTGTGAAAATGATGTGTTTCAAACGTAAGTTGTTTCCGAAAAGATTGTTGCTTAGCAGGTTCAAAATCCGTTTGCACGTTTGTCTTGAGTCCACGTAATCGGTAATTAGAATCTCAACGTTTCCAAAAAATGGCAATTGTATCCATGTGTTATCTGAATGCTCTATATCACAAAAAATATATCGCATTATGCGGAGTCTTGGGTAGGTGCGGGTTGAGGCGTACTGCGGAAGATGGGTAATGATTGCATCCAGTGAGAGCGCTTCGATTGACTGGTTCAATGCGATAATTAAGCCTGCGGCATCGTCTGCGTACTCGGGTGGAGCATATTCTAAAAATCTAATGTTCCTACCTCCGGAATAACAAAAATTGATAATGGCATGCATGTTGGTTTGATCATAGAAGAAATACATATGTTTCAAATTTGGCAGTGATCCAGGGTTGACATTAAGAGTATGCAGGGAGACAAAGTCGAGTGACAATGATTCCAAAGCGGGAAGCTTATTAAGTAGGGCCGTGACTGAATGCGAGTCATTAACGAGATGATGAGTTGGGGGGCCACAAAGAATCAATACTTTGAGATTTGTCAATTGCTGCAGACTTTCTAACGTAGTCTCCGAGAATGCCACTGAGTTAATAAATTGAAGTTTAAGAGTAGTTAAACAATGGCTACATAATTTAATAATTTGATCAACATCTGATATTTGGATTATAGGGTCGGTGTAGAAGCGATTATCGTGTCTAAGTTGCCGACCTTGACTGTTGTGTGGGGACTTGACCGTATCTGAACAAAATATGTTGCCAATGTTTAGTCGTTCCAATTGAGACATGCCTTCGGTGATGAATTTACTCTGTTTTCTTTCAATCAACTTCTGGGCCATAAGGGGAAGTCTTAATTCTAAGTTAGAAAACGCGAATGGTATGACAGCGACATCCCAGGATTTGCCAATAAGCCGTAATTGCAATAGGTAGTATAGCGAAGCTCGGTTGGGATAGTGGAAGTCAGCGCTATTGAGGGAATACGGGTCTGTTCTATCGCAATTCTCATAAACATGGTAAAGAATCATTTGAACCACTTCGAGAGGAAGGCTGGGACTGGGGACCATGACTAAATGATTTTTGTGGAGGTTTGTTAAGAATTGTAGTAGAATGAAGTGTCTAGCGTGTGTCTAATCTATATGAAGACACTTGTCACTTGGGTTTAGTTCGTCGGGTGCGATTGAGGGAGCTGAAGATCTATAAGGATAATGATGGATTCTCTCTACCGTTGTCGATATAGATTTTTCAGATGAAATATTTTATGAAATGATGTGGAGGTATGTAGATTTCGCCATCTAACGTTTGATTTAACATTTGGCGTGGGTTGAACATATCCTAAACCCGAAAACACTGAGTCGGAATAGATTAGGCAATGTATTCGGCCTGAAATTTTCCGGAGTAGAAATAACACATCCAACGCTTCGAATGCGAGGTACTTTGATAGGGCATCGGACGTTGAAAGTGGGTGACAACCCCTATAAAATTTGAATAAGGCTTTAAACGGAGTCCAGTGACCTGGGGTAGGACAGACTTTGGCGGAGATTTTGGATCTTTGAACATGACCCCAACGTGAGTAATTTGGGCCAGAAAAATACCAAACGATGAAAATGAAGTCTACGGCTGGGAGTCGTATAGTGTGGTATTGTATATACCACATAGTTGAAGTGTATACTTCAATCTTACGTGAGCTCGGAGTTTGCAATTGTGAAAGCATGAAAGCGTGAATGTTGAAAATTGAGGTGAAAGCAGACCCTACCTGGGGGGAATTATAGGCTTCAATTACAATTGTCTCTATTTCATTTCGATGTTGCTATTTCATTGTCAAGCCGGGTGGCATCTAGGTCGTCGCGTTGGGCAGGGTCTTGAAATGTACCACCACATAAGGCTATCATGCCGAATATGAGAAGAACCAAGATTTAAAGTAGTTCACTTTTCAAGTTCCAAGGTGATAGGTGAACTTGACAAATGTTTTGTGATAGATATGTGCGATACTGACCTAAGGATGATCCACAGATTCAGTACCAAGCGTGATTTTCATAAATAATTAGGTATAAGCTTCAAATCCATTTTGGGAAGTCAGCGTTTCGCAACATAGTTGTCCGGCTGGAAGTCCCGGCCTCTGAACCTAAGGTTGAACAGTACTTGTATAAACATATGTACTGCGGTGTATTCTTGGATTTGGGGCCGGTCTAACTCAGTCTTAATAGAACAGTTTAGCCACATATTGTTGGGAATGACTGCGCAGTTCTCCGTTTGGCGCCGTAGGCTGCTGTCCAGGTTGAATACTCAGTGTCGATCTCATACACCTGCACTTGAAGTAGGGACTTTATTGTGAGCCAAATTGTTCCTTATGATGTTTGTCGTACCGAATATAGGCCTGCGAAGGCAGTGTCAATGAATTTGTACCCTTTAAATCACTTTGAGGATATGTGAATTTGGATCGAAGGTAGGTGGAACAGGTGCAGATTCAAAGTTCCAGCTTCCGCTTCAAGCATTTGCGGTAGGTTTGCTGTCTGGAATTTCACATTGCTTTGTGAAAGAATGCAATTAGCAGTAACCTGCTGTAAAATTGTTAAGCAGTGCTTGTTGACAACTATAGGGCAAAATGGGAAATAATTTCAACTTATTTTGACCGCATGGAGCAGTCACTTAGAATTCGAAATTATATGTGAGTCAAAGAAAAATGAGTTAATAGTAGGATGATTTTAGAACAACTCGATTTTTGGCCCTCTAGAATATAGGCTACTTTGATCATGATTGCATACCCCCCCTTATCTTGAGCATAATAGAGCAATGATGATTGAAATTGATTTATATTCAAATCTTGTGCTCAAAGTCAGGGAAGTAGCGAGCCAAGGCATACTATGGTTAACTGACGACGTGCCAGTCATTCTTGAGTTGTTAAATCAAGGGTTGAGTTACTCGAAGTTCTACGCGCTACTCGGGTTTTTGCCTTAGGGGCAGCTGTACGAGCGCGCTTCTTGCTGACAGAGGCCGATCCAAACGGACAGCCGGAGTCACTGGCGGTGGGCGACACAGGAGCCACTGGGTAGTCCGCTGGCCCGGATTCCAGGCTAGGGGTAGAAGTTGGTGGAATCACGGGAGACTTGAAAGGCGCGGTAACTGATTTTGGGACGAATCTAAGTGGTCGATTGGGGTGTGGAACTTGCGTTAATGTTTGTCAATTTGTTTTGAACAACGGGGTTGTACTTTTTTGGCTTGGGTCTGCCAGACCCTTCAACATTTTGTTCAACCTTGACTTTTCTGTCTGCGAATTCACTGGGGTCACGATGACCTGAAGTGGTTGAGACCCTGTTTGCCTGTCAATTTTGATTAGTGAGCATAGGCTGATGGAATGGAAATGTTGAACTACTTACGATCACCATGTAAGATCGGGTCTCCTCATTGAAGTCTTGAACGAAACCGTGGAACTGGCATTCGCGGCCCAGCTTAAGGATTCGAGGGATCCCAGAGAGATATTTATAAGGTCGAACCCGATACTTGACAAAGAAGATAGGTGCGGGCTTGACCTGTGAAAATATGACTAATGGTTAGACTGGGAAACAGTAGTCCAGTGGTGACACTTACTGCTGGGTGGTAATCCGTATGCTTGACAGTAGCTACAATAGTCTTGAGGGGTTCTACATCGTCTTTGCCTCGAAGGTGTTGAACACAGTCCTCAACTATTTCTTCAAGCTTGGACACAATGCCTAAGCTGCTGACGCCAATTGTGTTGATCATATCACCTTTGAAGGTTTCGGCTGGACCAATCAAGGCGTGGTCAGACCCTTCGAAGTAGAGACTATCCTTGAGCGTATCGACAGTGTTATTGGGGAAAAAATACACCCTTAAGAAATAAATTTGTCTTTCTTTGAGTGCTAAAGAGAGTGGTCTGTAGCCAAAAGCCCGGATTTCGTATCTGGTCTCTTCGGTCCTATCGGCGCCACCGCAGTTTATGGAGACGGCATAAGTGCGATATTCGGCTTTTCGGTTCAAATCCGTCGAAATCTAATATAAAGAGAAATTTGCAAATTGTTAGACAATTCATTTGTTTAATCAAAAAGTTCTCGCTGACCTGTGCTTCAATTTCGAAGTTGCCCGAGAAATAAACACCGTGACCAGTGGCTTTGTTTAAATCTAATCCTGACATGGGAAGCTCTAAACACGGATTGAGTCATACGGCCAAGTAGCAAATTCAAAGTCAGTCCTGAGAATTGGCTCAAGAGAGCTTTGTTTAGGACGCAGCGTACGAAATGAGGTATAACCTAGAGCTTGAGCCCGAATAATGGTCAATTGCAAGCAAAGCGTTGGACCTATGCCTTTGTCCATCTGTTGCTCGCTCGGTTTATTTATACTTTTACCAGCAGGGATATATGTTGAAAAGACACATGGTTCCAAATGGAATAGGTGTAGGTCGTGTAATTCATTCTGGGGTGATTTCTATGCGATGCTTAGACCTAATCATGAAGCAAAAGTAAGCGTTAGTAACACATGCCATATCCCGAATATCCAATTTAGGATGGAAGATTAAGACTCAAGTTTGAGGCAACGACGGTGGGTTTTTAAGATTGTCATGTTGAAACACAACATTGCTCGAAAGGACAATCAGGCGATGATATCCGAGTAGATGCTGTGGAATTTGAATTTGTTTGTCTGATAAAAATCAGTTTTGAAAAAGCATGCTTTGGTTTGAAGTTGTGCGTTCAATAATCAATTGCGGTGAGGTGCTCATGCGGCGGAAGCCTGATTCACGTTTTATGGCCTTTTGAAACTTTGTATCTATACACAATGATGCTGGGTATTTAACGTAGGCTAGAAGCGGGTAAGCGAAGCCCCGAAGTTGGTATTTGCAGTAAGTGTTGAATGGGTCGAGTAGTTCTATGGGGTCCCAAAGAGAACTCTTTGGCATAGATGGATTCATAGCTCGCCAACTGCTGGCTTGGGGATGTACCGCTTCCGAGGTTGGTCCTTGGTTTTGATGATGGATTTGGAATACGCGCAGTAAGAATGATGTATAACAGGCGGGGTATCAAGTGTACCTTTGGTACATACATCAATTTGCATAAGTTATAATTGGGCGAAATAGTGAAGTGTATAAGTGTGAATGAAACATTTGAAAATTAATCGAGAGGTTTCGGATGTGATCCGACTCAACTTTTGGGTGAGGATGTTCAATCAACTGTATGCTGTACGAATGCATATCACCAGAGGACGCTTTCTCACGAGGAACATCATGGGATGACCAACAATATATGTTACTGCGGTAGGGGTGATGTCTCAAATGGGAAGCGCTATTGGGGTTCATACTTTTGTGTTTTGTATTGACGCCCAATAAGCAATGCTATATTTTTGGGCAATTGGAGAACAAAATGAAGCAATCTTGGCAACATGTATTAATGTGACATTTCAAACATCAATAAAATTCACAAGTAGAACAAAAACCCTTCTTGTGGTTCCATGCCTTGTTTCCAAAAACCTTGGGTGGGTAAGCGAATTGTAGGCGCGGCTCAGAGCCCTAAAACCAAGTCTGTTGATCACAGATGTGACACATATTCTAAATTATTACGCTTGAAGTCTAGTAACAGGTTCGTAATGAAGGCTTATAAGTTAGAGCAGAAAATGGCGCGCGACGTCGACCGCCTGGAGCCTCTCTGACCAGTATATATGCTAAAGAGACAACTAAGTACAAAGTGAGGACGCAGCCCCTACGTATGGAGGACCCCGCAAGGCTGGGCTCATGAGGCCGCTCGGCCTACGGGCTCTCTGAATTAAGAATGTTCCAATGACTTGGCTAGAGCCTGGTAGGGTCGCGGGGTTAGTGTTTGTTCAATAGTACTTTATGCAAAGGGATAACATACCAGTGAAGTTTCACGCGTAGGTTGAGCTATAAAGTGGCATTGTATTCGGATTTTGTGGAACCGTTCTACCAAGTCTATGTCATTAAGGAATTCCCCTCTGGGCATGGCAAAAACGATGTGCTTCAATTTTGGGGGACGCTTAAAGCTGTTAATATCAGTTTGGGTTAAGATACTGCGCCAGTATACGCTGCCGTGCCAGTAGCTTGTGACGAGTACCTCGATCATTTTTAAAACCGGCCATTCTAACCAGTTGGTCTCCCATTGTACTGGGTAACAATATTCAATGCGAAGTACGTGCAGTTTGGGAAAAACTGTATTACGTATCGCTTCCGGGATGCGGTCAGGGATCGAAACGATAAATAAAATTTCGAGGGTTTCTACAAGGCCGAGAGCGAGTGGGCCGGCGGGGTCATGGTCTTCCCGCGTGAAAAGCTCGAGGCAATTGATTGGTCTGTAACTCGAATGACAAAGGTCAATGCCAGCCTCAATGTCGTGAATGTCACATTCTAGCCAGAAATGTTCCAAATGGGGAAGGGCGCTACCTTGCAGGTTTAATGGCGGGAGCGGCGACATATTGAAAGATAAAGATCGAATTGAGGATACGCGCTCGAGGAGGAGCTTGATTGACCAAGCGTCATGTCCATCCATTGGAGCTCCGTAGCTCTCGATGTTTAAAGTTTCAAGCCCAGTAGCAAGGTTAAGAGCATCACTGAGCGCGGGAGTGAAGCCGACACAATTTATAAACCGTAACTTTAATTCAGTCAGAGTAGAGTGGCATAAAGTAACGAGGGCAGCCGCATCGTCTGGTAGGATAGAGAAAGGGTACAATAGCGATTCGGAGGTTGAGCTATGGCCGGCAGGTAGTTGCGGTAGGGCCATTGAATAGATAACGCCGTCGAAATATAGATATCGCAGTGGTGGCAATCCGGGAGTGATGTATGATTCTTTCCAGATGCGAATAAGAGATTTCACCATCTCACCACGGGTCAAGCGAAGGTTATTGAAAACAAAAGGAACGATAGCAATGTCCCGTGATTTGGACACCAAACGTAAATGAAGAAATCGTGTGACGCATGCGTGGTGCAATAAGGCGATGTCAGTGCAATTGGTAGGGTTAGGACCGATGACAGGGCTTGATAAGACAACCTCTTTAATAATGAGTTCAACTATCTCAACTGGAATGTTCCGGATACCTGGGTTGAGAGTTCCAGGCGTTGGAGGCGTTGAAGAAGTTGATGCCATGCTGCCAAGGGTTCAAAGAGCAAATGTTAGCTGGGATGTGGATGCATTTTATGCAACAAATTGAATATATTATATGAACTTGGTTGTCTTACCCATGGACATGGTGGGCGAGCCGGGACGATGGACCACTTGCAGGGTGCGAAACGAGGAAGAAGCGAGGTCGGATGCCTTGGATTATAAACCGATTTGCTCTGGGTCTGAAAATAAATCTGAGTTTGATAAGAGCCGTGAAGGGGTCGAGTCCGCAAAGTAAATGCACACGAGCACGCGGAGCGTTGGCAAAGACTTGCGAAAAAAAAACGGGTTGATGATGCGAAACATCCAGTGTCGTACGCCAAAGCCTAATGGGTTGTGGGTAAATAGCGCGGCCCATGCGTTAGGAGGACGAGGTGAGAGCGCGTGCCAAATGCTTGTGGAGTAATCCAATTTCTCTGCTTTCAAGGGAGCTTGCATTTGGATTGAAATTGAATGGACACACGCGGCGGTTAGGCAGAAATGAACAAGGGTGTAACTTTCAGATATGTAATGTATTGTAAATAATGGCGCTGAGCTGGATTGAATGAAAGTGGCCAGGGAGTAAATGAGCGCGATAACTTGGGTGGAGTGAATGGGAATGGGTCGCGATGCGGGTGGCTGATAACGTTGGAAGAAACACAAAGCCAATGGGATGTGCGAGGGAGACCAAAAATCCAAGCAAAAGAAAGTGAACAATGGAAAGGATGCATAGGGATTGGGAATGACGTCTCAGAGCCGAAAGGCCTCGAGAGGGGGGCTTGTTAAAAAGCCTTAGGGGGACTTATTAAGGCCTTAGGGGTTTAAACTGGTTTCGCCGAGAAAGTGCGTTGTACCTTTAGTATTATGATGTATTTAATTTGCATTGGTATCTTTGAATCTTTCTTGTAGTATTTCTATCTGTTTTTCTTTCTGTCTATTATGTGTATATTGCCAAATGGATCTTTGAAGTTGTAAAGAAAAAATAGAAACTACTTTGAAATGTAATGAATAATAATGATCTGATTGATTTGCCCTAGTGAGAGTTTGAAGAGAATATTTATGTATTGTTTTATTTTTGTTTTGTGAGGTGATCTATGGTGTGATAAAAAATATGATATGCAATTAAGATGTGATCACAGGATTTGCTTTCCACACCGTGTGAGCGGAAGAACTGGAAGAAATCTCCTGCCCAAAACTCACGAGTCCACTGGATAGATTTTTCAATGACCAACGAGACGGAATGTGAAATTGTTTCATAGTTGTGGCTAAACTGGACGACGGCAGAGAGAGAGGAGGAGTGACTGGCTAGCTGAGTCTTGGGTTTACCTTGTCGTGTTAATTGGGAGGATTCTTGATCAAGACAATGTTCATCATTTGAGAGATTCCGATGAACAGGTGAAATTCTCCTTGTAAAATTTGGTACCAATACCACGTACAGCTGATCAGTCCTTTCATCGGATAGACTTTTCTTACTGAGGTGCGTAGCATAGAGAATGATTCGATGATAGCCCAAGTATCTGGTAAGTCCGGATAGAGATCAAAGACCTGAAAAAAACAAACAAAAAACTCATCAGTACCTGGTCTGTGTGAAACAAGATATAGAACAGCAGCAGCTCAATTACTATTGAAGGGATGCCTACAAACTTAAGGGATAGAATCAAGGCGGGTTGGCGGGTTGAGTGTGGCTGATAATCGATCTTTCTGCAATCGATTGTATCATGATGTCATGGTAGAGTCGTCCGTAGAAGGGATTGTAAGGCTAGGTAGTTTTGGCCAAAGAAATAGAGGGATTAAGGGGTTTAATCCAGTTTCGCCGAGAAACATGGTTGAGCCTTTAGATTTATGATGAACCATTCAGTGGGTACTTAGGGAGTATTTGGACGTTTTTTGCTTTGTTTATCTGGATGACATACTGATCTTTTCAAAGAATGCAGAAGATCACGCGCAACATATCGAAAAGGTCTTGTCAAAATTATCGGAACATAAATTAACAGCTTCACCGGAAAAATGTCAATTTTTCGCCACCAAAGTTGTGTTTTTAGGTTTTGTAATTTTGACAAGAGGCATCAGTATGGACCCGTCGAAGCTTGAGACCATAGCTGATTGGCCTTTTCCTCAAGATTTGTCAGATTTGCAGCGCTTTTTAGGTTTTTCTAACTTTTATCGGCGTTTCATTGCAAATTTCTCCGGTATAGTAGGACCACTGACTGCACTTACGGCGAAAACGGCTGATGCAATGTTAGGACTGCGAACCGACAAAGCTAGAAGAGCATTTAACAAGCTACGTCGTTTATTTTCTGCAGCCCCATTTCTTCTCCACTTTGACTTTGATTTGCCACGCATAGTACAAGTTGACGCTTTGGGATATGCCTATTCTGGGATTTTGTCGCAGAAATCAGATCAAGGGGATTTGCGGCCTGTCGCTTATTTTTTGAAGAAGTTGACGGAGGCGGAACGTCGTTGGCAAATCCATGATCAAGAACTAGGAGCAATAGTAGCCTGTTTTCATGAGTGGCGAGCTTGGCTAATGGGAACTGACAAACCTATAGCTGTCCTGTCAGACCATGCTAATTTACGTTACTTCATGACTTCGCAGGCGCTGACTCCCCGACAGGCACGTTGGGCGACACGTTTAGGGGAATTTAACTTTGAGCTTTTACATACGCCTGGGAAGTCGAATCCAGCGGATCCAGCTTCACGCAGATCTGATTTTGTGTGTGGAAAGCAAGATTTGTCAAAGGTGGTCTTATTAGGGCTTCGGGAGATCAAGGAAGCAGGTATCAGTGCAATCCACATAAGGAATCCGGGGAGTTTCGATGTTTCCGCTTATATGCCTATCTCAGATACACTAAGAGATAGAATTGTGAATGCTTACCATTCGGATGATTTGGTTGCAGGAGTTTATCCGGCTTTCCTGTATTTTTTGGATGGTTTGTGGTGGTGGCGAGACCGGGTTTACATCCCATTTTCTTTACAAGATGACATATTAAAACAATTTCATGAGTCCTCTACAGGTGGCCATTGGGAGAGTATGAAGACGCTAGACTTGCTGACCCGCTCTTTTGGTTGGCCAAATTTGCGAAAAGATGTGCTACATTATCTCGAAGAGTGCACCAGCTGTCAACAAGTCAAGGTGGATCGTCGCCCCCCGCAAGGACAACTTATTCCGCTGCCAATACCCGACCGGCCTTGGGCAACGATTGGAGTCGACATTATTGTCAAACTGCCACTTTCAGATGGTTTTGACTCTGTCATGGTGGTGGTTGACCATTTTTCCAAAGCTACTCATTTTATTCCGGCAAAAGAGAGCTGGAAGGCTGATGATTTGGCTGCTGCCTTTGTAGCTCAGGTTTTTCGATTTCACGGATTGCCAGATACCATTGTCTCAGATCGAGGCACCACGTTGGTCTCTGGGTTTTGGACAAGTGTCTTGCGACTTCTCCGTGTGTCGCCGGCACCGTCGACGGCTTTTCACCCCCAAACTGACAGACAGGTAGAGCGGTTGAATGCCTTGTTGGAGGACTATCTACAACATTTTGTGGCCAAAGGTCAAGATGATTGGTCTGGTTGGCTACCACTGGCTGAGTTTTCATACAATAACTCAGCTTCTAGTTCAACAAAGATGTCCCCGTTCTTTGCGCTCCAAGGATATCACCCGCGGTTTAATTCTTTGACCGGATCTTCAGGACGACCCAATGCTGACAAGTTTGTTGGTCATATACAGGAAGTTCAACAACGACTCGTAGATAATCTCACTCGCGCGAAAGAAGATCAAGCACATTATTATAACAAAGATCGACAGGTGGAGAAAACCTATGAGAAGGGAGATTTGGTGTGGCTCTCAAGGAAACATCTCAAGACGAGACGACCTAACAACAAACTTGATGTGAGAAGATTGGGTCCATTTTGAGTATTGTGAATGGTGGGAAGGAATGCAGCTGAGTTGGATTTACCTCCAGAGTTGGGCCGCCTTCATCCGGTATTTAATGTTTCCCTTTTAATGCCTTTTGTAGGGAAGACACAGGAATTCTCATCTGCAGAGAAGACCCATTGGGGATCACTTTTGATTCGAGAAGAATTACACATCAAGACAATTTTGGATTATCGGTTGAACTCGTTAGGAATTCATGAATATCTTTTGCGGTTTAACAATGCTTCCGCATTGGAAGATCAATGGTTGCCTTTATCACAATTATCGCCAACAATTGACGCATCTCTAGAATGGTTTTATCGTCTTAACACTGCGGGAGGCCCAGGACCTAGTCAATATGTATGGATTTCAAGGGCTAAGCGCCGTGTCGATGACGAAGAACGTGAAGCATCATCGGCTTTGCCTGATGGATTTTTGTCGTGATTTGCCAACCCCTGTGTGCCTAAACAAGCCACTCAAGACTTGGGTATGTGAAGGCAGTCGCAGAATTTTTTGCCATCAAAGGTATAAGGGAGGTCATAATTTGTCATGAACCTTCCACAATGTGGTAGTCTGTTTCACAACTTTTTAAAGAATAGGGCTAATATTTTAATAGCTAAGTTGAAAGAACATGACGTATGTATAAGATTTGTAATCAGGAACAAGGAACGCAAATAATGGTTGTTTATTCAATTTTAGGTTTTCATTTCTCTTATACACAGTGTCATTTTACTAGTCACTGGCAGGCCAGTGAGTTCCATTCACCTCAATACAATCTCAATTCAACGTCAGTTCAATATCAGTTTGACCTCCAATGATGTTTGAGTGGGGGATATGCATGGGCTGCATAATCACACAAACCTTCCAGACATTCTGACACCTTCATGTGTGGACATGCAACCAAACTTTATTCCAGTTCATTCTGGAAGGTTGTTTGTCTGCTACTCGAGGCCAAACATTGAGATTGGATTGATATTGAACTGACATGGATTTGAGATTGGATTGAGATTGGATTGAGCTGGACGTACTCACTGGCCTGCCAGTGAGTAGTAAAATGACACTGTGATATATACTTTATGTTTTCCAGAACTTTGTTTGCTCTTTTTCTTATCGGAATAATCATTTATCTTACCTTTCTCCTTGTTTGCTGTCTCCGTTTTGAGACAAAAACCGTTTCCTTATAAGAATTGCTTTGTGCCATACCAAAAGACTACTCCAATCTGAGTGTCCAAGTTTTACTACATCCCAGAGCATTACATAATTGCGTTCGCAATGCATTCGCAATTGGTTCGCTGTACATCATCGATACCGTCACGGTTGCAAGCTATCAGGCTTTGTGCCATGTTTCAACCTTGTTCAATTTACCTCTTTATAAAATATTGGAGCCTTGTTTTAAGATCAGACACGGCAAGCATTGTCTCTTTTGAACAGGTGACAAAACTTCTCAGGAGTACTAACCACAGATAGGT